TGAAATCTCTCTCGATAACAAGGTACTTTTGTATAAAACAATCATAGTGCCCATTTGGACTTATGGAATCGAACTATGGGGTTGCTCATGCAAATCTAACATAAACATCATTCAAAGGTGCCAGAATAAAATTCTGCGTATCCTTACTAATGCGCCTTGGTATATTTCGAATTTTTGCCTACATAAGGATTTGAAAATCTCAACAGTCAACGAAATGATCAAGATTAGAAGTTCATCTTTCAACAACAAATTAATCCAGCATACAAATCCTACAATTCAAGCGATTTAGAGACCGATAAAGAGATTGAGCAAGAAATGGCCTTCCGATCTACCAAACACCTAGCCCAATGTCTGCACGCGTCCTGACGTAGTACATCATCACGTCATCGTTTATTTATGTTATTATTTTTGTATTACTGTTTTAATTTAATTTTTATTTTAACTTTTTTCATTTTATATTCAATGTATTGCATTTTTTGTTTTTTTGTATTTTTTTTTTGCTCATATCAATTTTGTAAATAAGACATTAAAGTCTTGATTAACAAAAATAAATTGTAACAAAAAAAAAAAAAAAAAATTGGATTATTACTCTTTTAATTCTGATTTTATCAGAACTTGTAATACACTATTTTAAACTATCACAAATTTTACCGTAACTTCTCTTATTGTGAAACGGCGAAGGGTTAAAGGGCTCGAAAGACCTCTGGTTGGATAGCCGCGCACTCCTTAATCAATACCTCTATCAATATTTGTGTAATGGAAAAATAATAAACAACAATAATCAGTCAGAAAAATACCTCGAATTTTCATATATATATATATACTTTTATACGTATTCTTTCAGAGATATTATAAAGAGAAATTGGAAGTTTTTTTTAACGTTTTTTTTTCATGAAATCATGAGTTTTTTGAAAATCGTTTGTACTGAAGTTGTGGTATTTTCTAGAATCCATCAAGACCTCTTAAACCAAGTTCATTCTAGATGGAATACGATTATTTTTAAATTTGGTGGAAATGGCACTGAAAAACTATTTGATTTAAATGAAAAAACATTATATGCGTCTTTTATTTGCATGATAGTTTACTCATTTTACACGCAGAAGTACTCATTTTAAAGCTTATTTTGAGCACTATAAAAACCCATTTTCATATCTAGCCTAATAATGTTTCTAAAACACTATAAAATAGCGATTTATCAAGATTTTAATTGATATAATTTTGTTCATTACATTTTTTTGGTTAAAATGTATATTTTTGAAGATATTAGCAATAAATTATGAAAAACGCAAAAAAGAAACAAATTTTCAGTAGCCAGTAACTTGAAAAGTATTTGCTTTTTTGAAAAAAATTATTAAACATTTTTCTTTTATAATTAGTTCTTTTATCGATACCCGACGTTATATTGAAAAAAGTAAAATTACACCACTGAAAAGAAATGTCATCCACCCGAGAAGTGGTAAAGGAGTTTAAATTGTTTTCCCTTCTGAAGAGTAAGATGAACCTAGTTCCAAAATTCCAAACGAAATGCAAAACAGTAAAAAAAGTTCAGACCGAAAGCGCTCCATTGAGTAAATATTCCGTACCCAATGACAAACATATGAATTTTTGACACAATGAAATTTCTAAATTTTTTTTTTGTATTGTGACTTAGTATAGTAAGGCAAAACGATTGCAAATTGAATATTTTTGAGCGCAATCACTTATGGCTCGTCTCCTTTGCACGAATTCGTACGGCGAATCTGTTCGCAAAGTGCGCAAACAAAATTATTGCAAGCAAAAGCAAATCACACGTACGTTGAGAACACGATTCGCCGTGCGCGTCAGACGCATGCGCAGACTGTCAGACGCATGTTATATTATTTGCATCTTATATTAATTTAATTTTTGGCACATCTCAGCTGCTTTTCGGCATTAATAATGTAGACATTACATTTTCCTTATTCATAATCATGAATTTATTATATTTTAATATTGCCTTAGCCTATAAGTCAATAGAAATGTTTGGCAAATGACAGTCTTCAATTGTTTTTAATGTCAAACTAAGCTTCAAATATTTTCAAGGGCAAACAATGATAAGCGGTTTTTTGTAATTTTTTCTATTTATTTCTACAATCTAACTATATTTCTATGAATCAAAACATTCTAGAAAATTTCCCGAACAAACTTCAGGAAGATTCATGAAAATCCGAATTATAGTTTAGGAGGATTAATGAAACTTACATTGTTACAGAAGAATTTTATATATAAGATATATATATATATATAAATATATTTATTTATTTATTAATTGTATTTTGACTCTCAACCAAACGGCAAACAAAAGACGGTGCGATTGCATAGTTAATTTAATGTAGCTTATACAATTATAACTAGATAGTTTTCTTGACGATTGTCTGTGATGTGAGTTCAAATCAAATTCATGGTCTGTATCTGATTTATTTATGTAACCTTTCTACAGTGAAGTTCTTTCCAGTGTTATTTATGCTGAGTTTATGAATTCTGTCAGTAACTCGCTCTAGAATTTCATAAGGCCCACTATAAGGTGGTTCAAGAGGCTTCCGTACATGGTCTGCTCCGAGAAATTTATGTGTATGTGCCCATATCTTTCAAAATGAACATCTTGCCCTTGTTATGATGAGAAGTATGTGTTGGTTTTAATGCACACATGATTTGGCGATGATTATCGAAGAATATTTGTGGATTTGTTGAATTATCGGATACATTTAAAAAATCACATGGAAGTCTCAACGTAGTTCCATTTCTGGTAGTGATGCTTTGATATCTTCCTTAAATGAGTTTTATAGACCAAATAGCACGTAAGGTAATATCTTGATCCACGGTTTAGTGGAGCACATCAAAGCAGCTTTCAATGTCCAATGCCAACTTTCCACGAGTCCATTAGCCTCAGAGTGGTAAGCTGTTGTGCGTGCCTTGTTTGCTTCAACTGCCTGAGCCAATGACTTGAATAGAGCAGACTCAAATTGTGTCCCTTGGCCAGAAGTTATTGTAGTTGGAGTCCCAAACCTTGAAATCCAGCACGTAAACAACGCTTGTGTGACTGTTTCAGCTGTGATATCTCTGAGTGGTTTCGCTTTTGGGTCATGATGGTGAGAAGCAAAGCCTTCTCCACTTAAACAATATGGGAAACCATTAGTATTTGGTAAGTAAATGATATCAATATGGATGTGAGAAAATCTTCCATCAGGGACAGGAATGTGCATAGGATTGAAGCGGTTGCGGACTTTGGACTTTTGACAGGAGATGCATTGACGAGTCCAAGTATTAATATTTTTTCCAATTCCAAGCCATACGTATCGTTTGCGGTGTTTTGAATGTTGCGATAATGCTTGCATGAGAAATACCTTGGACTACTTCAATTGCAGTTTTGCGGAGGTTGTGTGGAAGATAGGGTTTAACAAATATATTCTCGATAATGCAATAAATTGAAAAACCATTCAATGTAAATTTGTGAAGTTTTAAAGATGTTTTTCCGTCAAGTAATGCTTTCAATTCCGGATCCAAACACTGATCAATACTTATTTCCTCAGTTGACAGTTTTGATGGTATTTCTATTGTGTTTATCCTTAAGCGGGTGTTTTCTACTATATTTTCTTCGCTTTTCACATATACAATTTCAGTGGAAAATTGGGAAATATATTCAAATTGTCGTCTCTCTCTATCTAAAGCCTTCTCCAGTTTCTGCTGAAATGCATATGTGACTAGCTTGTGATCAGTCTTGATTATAAAATAACTTCCATCCAGAAGATATTCAAAATGCTTTGTTGCGGCAAAGATGCCAAGTAGCTCTCGATCATAGGTTCAATACGTCTGCTCTATTGCTGTTACCACAGTTTTCTGGAGTAGAAACCGATGGGTTGTCAGGCACTATTTTCTTCCTGCTCCAGAGTAGCACTAATGGCTGTTGTCATCCGTCACCAAGCAGGTGTTGGCTGAAGTATCTGGATATCAAATTAGTGCTGCTTTGCATAAGCTTTCTGTACGTTTTCAAAAGTTCGAAGTGATTCTGGGTTTCAGATTGGAATTCGAGTTTTGTCCTTCTTCACTGAACTCTGTAAGTAATTGTTTAAGGGTGATTGTATTTTTGCTGCTTTTGATACTGACTTCCTCTAGTGATTCACCATTCCTAAAAATCTACGCAGTTCCAGATTGTGGAAAGTTTAAAATTTTGTACACTAGTTGTGTTGATGGAGAATAGCCAATTCAACTAAGTTTGTACCCCAGAAAATCTACTTCATCCTTGACCATAACGCGTTTTTCAATGTTGATAACAAGTGAGTGCTCTTGCGGTTGCCCGAACACTACTTACAGGTGACGATGATTTTGTTCCATGCTCTCAGACACAATCAGGATGTCATCCACATATGAAAACAAAGTCAATATCTTAGCAATTTCATTTTAGTATCGCTAGAAAACTTGAGTAGCATTCTTCAATCCAAACGGCATGCCGATGTACTCAAACAATCCCCATAGGGTTGCAATGGATGTTTTCTGAATGTCCTTTTCATGCATTGGGAACTGATGATAGGCCCTGGCGAGGTCTAATATGAAGAATTTTTTTTGTGTGATGCTGGAAAAACATCCTGAATTAATGGAGGAGGATACTTATCAGGTAATGTACACGCATTCAGCTTCCTGTAGTCACCGCAAAGCCTTCTTTGCCACCTTCTTTGCTATATGAATAGGCCTTGCTCTCGGACAGCTTTATGGTTTTAAAATGCCATAAAGCTGTAACCATAAAGATTTTGGATTTTGGCTTTTGTTGCTGTAAGTTTTGCACCAAAAATCTTCCTGAACATGGCAGCAACTGGTAGACCTCTTGTAGAGATTCTATGTGCAAAAGAAGGCTGTTTAATACTTAATTCGTGTTGTTTATTGGTGAGAAAAAATATGTTGTTAGTAGATTCTTGAACGGTTGAGAGGTTGCTAAGAATCTATTGTGGAGTTGTTGATTTTATCAGTTTTCAGAACTTTTGCATCAGAGGTTAAGTCTTTGTTGAGGTCAATTAAGATGTTGAAGTTGAATTATGGGCGCTGCCACACCAGCAACAGTGAATTGCCAAGTGAAAGATCCAGCTCTAAAGTCTTCTTTCCAAAAGTAGGTATGCGGCTGAAGTTGGCTGCGTACAGGACAAGATCTTCCTTGGCACGTCCGATTGCAAACTTTGTAATCTTGAGGCTTGCTTGTTGTGGTCATCACAGATGCTATACCACAGGCATCTAATAGTCTGCCTGCCATTTCTCCAAAGGCTTGTAGCCCAACATTATTAGTAATAAGAAGCAGCGGACGAACATGTTTTGGCAGTCTCGTCGCACAATCTCGTCGCTCACTTCATTATTTTGAAGACCCACTATTTCACGAAGCAACTGTGATGGCTTGTCATCTAGTGTATAATAATATAACAATAACATGTGTCCTAATGGATAACCAAAAAGGCGTTTTTTACATGTTTATTTCTAATCTCAAAAGTCGTTAAAGATTAATTTATTGTATATAGAATTATTAATTTATCTGTACTTATCATATCTAAACTAAACAAATCCCAATAACGAGCCATCGTAAGCCTTTTATCACGTAAAACATAAAAATTAACTTCAGCGAGCATCGCTTGGGTTAGCCCGCTAGGATAAGCCAACAAGGCGCGAGCAGTGTTCGTGCGTGATCGTTAGCTGGTTAGTTCTTTTATGGATATCCCACGTTATTTTGAAAAAAGTAAAATTACACCACTGAGAAGGGATGTCATCCCTTCCCGGGAAGTGGCAAGGAAGTCTAAATTATTTTCATTTTTGAACTTGAGAAAAGTTGAACGTAATCCCAAATTTTAATACAAATTGGAGCACAGCTTTATTGACTTGAGTAAATATTCCGTATCCAATGTAAACATATGAATTTTTGACACAATGATACTTCTAAATATTTTTTTGAAAAAGTATCTTTTTTGTATTGTGATTTAGTAAAGTAAGGCAATACACGACTGCATCAGTTAAAAAATAGTAATCTGACAAATTGAATTATATAGGGTATATTCGATGCGCAATCACTGACAGTCCACAACCGTCAGACGCATGCGCAGACTGTTTATCTGCCAAACCATATACTTTATCTTAAATTGTTTTAATTTTTGGCACATCTCAGCTGATTTTCAGCAATAATAAGGTAGACATTACATTTTTCTTATTCATAATCATGAATATATTATATTCTAATATTGTCTTAGCTCATAAGTGAATTGAAATTTTTGGCAGATTACAGTTTTCATTTGCTTTTAATGCCAAACCATGCCTCAAATATTATCAATGTCAAACATTGATAAGCGGTTTCTATAATCTATATTATATATATATATATATATATACTATATTTCTATAACCAAATACATCCTAAAAATTCTTTTGACAAACTTCAGAAAAATTTATCCAAATCCGAATAATCGTTTATGAGGAGTATCTTTTTATACATCATTAAAAAAGAATTGTATACGTAAGATATATATATATATATATATATATATATATATAGATAGATAGATATATATATATATATATATATATATATATATATATATACATATACTAGTATACCCAGCCTCGCGTTGGGACGGCTCTTATTAAAATCCACCTGATTAAAATTTGAATCCGTTTGACAACCAACATTTCAAACTTTTTGTAATAAAAAATTCATATCAATCCCAAAATAAATAAAATCGGGATTTAAATTTGAATATGATGGATTAATACTATTTAAGATATATATATATATATATATATATATATATATATATATATATCTTATATATAAAATTCTTCTGTAACAATGTAAGTTTCAATAATCCTCCTAAACTATAATTCGGATTTTCATGAATCTTCCTGAAGTTTGTTCGGGAAATTTTCGAGAATGTTTTGATTCATAGAAATATAGTTAGATTGTAGAAATAAATGGAAAAAATTACAAAAAACCGCTTATCATTGTTTGACCTTTAAAATATTTAAGGCATGGTTTGACATTAAAAACAAATGACAACTGTCATTTGCCAAACATTGCGAATCGTGTTCTCAACGCACTTTGCGAACAGATTCGCCGTACGAATTCGTGCAAAGGAGACGAGCCATAAGTGATTGCGCTCAAATATATTCAATTTGCGGTCGTTTTGCCTCACTATACTAAGTCTCAATACGACAAAAATTACTTATTCAAAAAATTATTTAGAAATTTCATTGTGTCAAAAATTCATATGGTTGGCATTTTGTACGGAATATTTACTCAATAGAGCGCTTTGGGTCTGAACTTTTTTTTACTGTTTTCTAATTCGTTTGGAATTTTGGAATTAGGCTCATCTTACTCTCAAGTTCAAAAGTGAAAACAATTTAGACTCCTTTGCACTACCCGGGGGGATGCCATTTCTTTTCAGTGGTGTAATAACGTTGGGTGTGGATAAAATAACTAATTATAAGAGAAAAATGTTTAATAATGTTTTTTAAAAAAGCAAATACTTTTCAAGTTACTGGCTACTGAAAATTTGTTTCTTTTTTGCGTTTTTCATCGTTTTTTGCTAATATCTTCAAAAATATACACTTTAACGAAAATCATGTAATGAACAAAATTATATCAATAAAAATCCTAATAAATCGCTGTTTTACAGTGTTCTAGGAACAATATCAAGTTAATTATCAAAATGGGTTTTTATAGTTCTCCAGATAAGCTTTAAAAGAAGTACTTCTGCGTGTAAAATGAGTGAGCTGTCATGCAATTAAAAGACGCATACAATTTTTTTTTTCATTTAAATCAAATAGTTTATGAGTGCCATTTCCACCAAAATTAAAAATAATCGTTTTCCATCTAGAATTAACTTGGTTTGAGAGATCTTGACGGATTCTAGAAAATACCATAACATTAGTACAAACGATTTTCAACAAACTCATGATTTCATAAAAAAATCTATTTAAAAAAAAAATCTCATTATAATATCTCTGAAAGAATACGTATAAAAGTATATATATGAAAATTCAAGGTATTTTTCAGACTAATTATTGCTTTTTATTATTTTTTTGTTACACAAATATTGATAAAGTTCTAATTGTTTAAAGAGTGCGCGGCTGTCCAACCGGAGTGTCTTTCGAGCCCTTTAACCCTTCGCCGTTTCAAAATAAGAGAAGTTACGGTAAAATTTATGATAGAAAAGAGAAAATAAGTGAGATTACGGTAAAATTTATGATTATCAAACTATACAAAATATCATAAACATTTGTTTCTCTCAAAACACATTGTATGCTTGATTCCCACAAATACTCCCTGCTCAGTGTTGACCTCACACTAGTTCAAATACGCACGTCAACATATCATATTTATTTGGTGGGATGGCAGATTGTAGTAGAGGTGTGAATTTTACATCTTTCAGGACATGAATTTTTTTCTCAAATTCATGAAAGTATGAACACAACCGCATTCCACCACAGCTGAATAAGATTATCTGGTATAATCAGCAAAGTTAGTAGAACGTTACACGAACTTGTCGTTGAACTTGATGAAGTATTTCAGACAGTTGGGTCGATGAGACCATCGTCTACTTGATTCCCACACACACACAGATATGTATATATACATATATATATATATATATATATATATATATATATCGAACAAAAAATCCTCAGTATATATATATATATATATATATATATACTAGATGACCCTACAGACGTTGTCCTGTACCCACCTCTACGTTTTTTTAATATCCTATACTAAAATTTATACCGTTCAGTCAAAAATAATCATTATTGTTTTTCGAGTTACTATTTACACCAATATATGAGTGATGTTAAATGTAGTACTGTTTCAAATAAAATGATTATTCTCAATTCCCACAGTTAACACTTTAATTATCCCTTTAACACCCATGTAGAAATTAATATCGGTACAATATATTACCAATATTGGTTTTCTGTGGCCGTGATTACCTATATTGCACAAATATAGGCAAAAGTCGGTTCTGTGATGATGTCAACTAATCGATCAGGCCGACATTAGTCAATATTAAGGAAATATTCTCTATAAATGGCCTTGTCCGATATTGTCCTCAAACTAAAATAGAAATATTGATGCAATATTTTTTATCATCGGCTAATAAATATTGTCCTCAAATAGAAGAATAAATATTGATGCAATATTTTTTTATCATCGACTGATAAATATTGTCCTCAAACTAAAATAGAAATATTGATGCAATATTTTTTCATCATGGGCTGATAAATATTGTCCTCAAACTAAAATATAAATATTGATGCAATATTTTTTATCATTGGCTGATAAATATTGTCCCCAAACTAAAATATAAATATTGATGCAATATTTTTTATCATCGGCTGATAAATATTGTTCTCAAACTAAAATATAAATATTGATGCAATATTTTTTATCATCGGCTGATAAATATTGTTCTCAAACTAAACTATAAATATTGATGCAACATTTTTATCATAGGCTAAAAAATTTTATTTTCAAAATGACATATAAATATTGCTGCAATATTTTTTATCATCGGCTGACAAATATTGTCTACAAACTGAAAGAAAAATATTGATGCAATATTTTTTATCATCGGCATATAAATATTGTCCACAAATTGAAGTAAAAATATTGATGCAACATTTTTTATTATCGGGTACAAAATATTGTCGACAAATTTAAAAATAAATATTTATGCAGCATTTTTTATCATAAGCTAATAAATATTGTCCTTAAATTAAAAAATGAATATTGATGCAACATTTTTTATAATTGACTATTGAATATTGTTCTCATATTAATAATAAATTTATATTTAAAATGAAAAAAAAAATATCTTGTCTGGGATCGAACCTGAGACTACGACGCTAAGAGTCGGCAACGCTAGCGTTTAGCTAACGAGTCGCACAGAATGAAAACAATATACGCTCGATATATGCCTTCAAATATTTAAACATGTGATTATTTAGGCATACAAGGTAAAAGGTAAAAG